TCAAGCATATCCTGTGAAGTTGGGGCAACCAACCATGTTTACAGACGTGGGAACACGTGGTGTGTTATCTTCCATGAACCACAGCCCCAACATACTAGGAACTTGTGGGTCCTTGGGCAAGTGAGGCTTGCAAGTTAGATTTTTTGTTTTTATAGATTTTTTTTTTCTTTTTTGGTTTTTCGAGACAGGGTTTCTCCGCAGGTTTGGAGGCTGTCCTGGAACTCTTTGAAGACCAGGCTGGCCTCAAACTCACAGAGATCCGCCTGCCTCCTGGGATTAAAGGCAAGCACCACCACTGCCCGGCTTTATAGATTTCTTAAGCATAGCAATTTGAACTTAGAACACAACTTTAGTCCTCGCACACGCTTAGCTGTTTTCAGTTCTCAATACTGCCTTACCTTGATCTGTCAAGGCAGCAGAAATGCCTAAGTCTTGACAGATCAAGGATATTGTGCTGTGGTATATACCTTTAGTCCCAGCATTGTAAAAGCAGAAGTAGGCAGATCTCTCTGAGTTTGAGGCCCCCGTCTACATAGTAAGTTCCAGGACAGTTAGGGCTGTGTAGAGAGAGACCCTGTCTCAAAGCAAGCACCAACAAATAAATACATAAATATCAAAGACTTTAATCAAATGCCAAATGACTTCAAGCAAATGCTAAGATCTCCTAATAATGTTATTTCAAATTAGGTTTTAATTGCCCATTTGTGTGTGAGTATTGACCCAGTACTGTTTCAACAAGTACTTTCGAGAAAATTGAGAGAATGAACACAGGCTGGCCCTTGAGCTCTGAGTTTCAGCTAACTGCTAGGGGTACAACCCAAGGACAGAACTCCGCTGAGGTTCCTTCCACAGGGACGGGATGAAGCCTCAGTGTGAGCCTGAGGAGGTGAGGCTTGACTGACCTTCCTTTTCTCCAAAAGGCGTGGTCATGAGAACCTGCCTCCCCACATGTATACCACCAACAGCTGTCCGTGCCTCAACCACAGCCCAGAATCCTTTCACTCTAGAAACTCCAATCCTGCAGCCGCCAATCAGAACAACCCCTGAGGAGGAAGTGCCACCTAACAGGCCCTTCTCACCCTTCTGGTTCCTTCATAGCCCTTTAGAAACAAAAGTGTTGCCAGGTGGTGGTGGCTCACGCCTTTAATCCCAGCACTCAAGAGGCAGAGGCAGGCGGATTCTCTGTGAGTTCGAGGCCAGCCTGGTCTACAGAGTGAGTGCCAGGATAGGCTCCAAAGCTACACAGAGAAACCCTGTCTCAAAAAAAAAAAAAAAAAAAAAAAAAAGAAGAAGAAAGAAAAGGAAAAAGAAGTGTTAAAATTCTCCTTCAATACAAGGCCAGACTTTGTGACAGTCCTGATCTCACTGACCACCCTTTAGTTATCCTCTATTTAAATTGTTATTTGATTAATCGCAGTTTCCTCTTCTAGGTTTTAGTCTTCTTAAATAAACAAGTAAGAGAAGCCAGGCGCGGTGGTGCAGACCTCTGGGTTCTTAGTCTTTTTTTTTTCTATAATTTATTTATTTTTATTTTGTGTGTATTGGTGTTTTGCCTGCGAGTATGCATTTGTGAGGGGTCAGATCCCCTAGAGGTGAGTTATAGGCAGTTGTGAGCCACCATGTGGTTGCTGGGAATTGAACTCAGGACCTCTGGAAGGGCAGCCAGTGCTCTTAACCTCTGAGCCATCTCTCCAGCCCACCTCTTAGTAAAGATAGAGAGACAGATAGATAAGGGAAGCCAGATGTGGTGGTACACACCTTTAATCTCTACACTTGGGAGCCAGTCAGGCAGATCTCTGATTTCAAGGCCAGTCTGCTCTACAGCAAGTTCCAGGACAGCCAGGGCTACAATGTAAGTCCCGCCCTCAAATAAATAAGTAACCAGGGGCCGGGCTGCTACTGGAGAGATAGGACTGTGGTCAGAAATGCTTTCTTCTCCCCGAGGACAAAGTGCAGCTCCCAGCACCT